GGGGGCAGGTGGGGGGAGGAGCGGGGCGGGCAGGGGGGGGGGGGGAGAAGTGTGTGTGGGGTGGAATCATTTTTTTTGCACTCATCACACTTAAAACGCCTCCTTGTGTTTCCATGGTAACAGCAAGCACCATCCAGCGGCGGCGTATTCCTGACAGAACCCAATGGTTCCTGTTGAACCACAATTGATTTTTTTTTTTTTTTTTCCCTCCACTTGAGCGTCCCGATCTCTGTTGGTGTTTGTTTGCACACAACAAGTTTGCGGACATAAGAGCGGAGCAAACAGAGAGAGAAGAGAGAGAAGAAGCAAATGACCTGAGAGATAAAGGGTGGGTGTGTGTGAGGGGAGGGGGGGGTGAGGTGAGGGGAGGGGGGGAGGAGGAGGAGGAGGTTATATTGAGGAGAGGACACTGACCCTTGGCCCCGCCCACACTGTCATCTGGTAAAACCCATCTTTAGGAGTCGGACGGTGAAGTCAGACCAGGACATTTGTCCACCGTGTCATTAGCTAAATGGACGCTCACGCTACGTCCTCAGGCCCAGAGACAAAAGACAGAGACACAGGGAGAGAGGACGGGGGACGGAGAGAAAAGACGAGATGACTGTTGACCAAGCTGGAGAACCCAGTGTCTCAGAGGAACCGCACACTGTAACAGGACTGGACTGGACTTGACCTGTGACCTACCCAGAGTAGATGACCTGAGAATGACCTGAAACTCACACAAGTGACTCGATCTTTTCTCTGAGGTTCATCCACTCAGGTCGACCTCGGACCATGACCATTTAAACAGCACCGAGTCGAGTTCTCTTTTCTTTTTTCATTTCTGAAGTCGACTCAGTGAATAGACGACGCAACGATTCTTCTTTTTTTTTTATTCCCTCTGTTGAACAGAGAGCACATCTGGTGCGAGTCATTTGAAGTAAAAAATAAATGTCATTAAGATGGGAACATTCTACAATAAATGACGACGATTAACAGGATTTTACAAGGACTTAGTGATGGTGATAAGATGGAGGGGTGGGGC